CATTTTTATGGCCGACTGCCAGCTCTCTTAAATCTCACGGCCTCTGAGACTGATGTTTATCTGAGCAATAAATTGTTTTTAGCCCGACTGGGGAACCATCCCTTCAGTTAAAGCAGTGATAATGACATCAGGGAGGAGCTCACGTTGTGGCAGTAGCGGGTCACTGTCAGGGGGTAGGGCCTGGGCAGCCTCTTGTCCTGCAGGAGATGCTGATCCTTCTTCAGAACACGCTCCACAACTGAAAACAAACCCAGATTCACTTGAGAAGGCTGCCCCAGAACAGAGGCTAAACAGAGCTAAAGAAAAAAGCAGGGATTGATTCAAGGCAGTGAAACTCTCACCCCCAGCCTGCTGGAACCCCCCTGTGCCCTCACACATGCACCCACTCCCTACTCTCACCTAATATTTCACCTATTACTCCCAGTTGCTCAGAGACACGAGCCCATCTCCTTGGCACATTAACAGGCAGAGATTTATCCCCCAGAGCCTGCCTACAAAAACAACACCTTACTCACGGCATAAATTTGCTTCTAAAACACAAACATCATGCTTTGCATGGTGAGTGAGTCATCACTTCAACGAGCAGAAACAAAATCCTGAAAATTGGCCTGATTAGCAGAGAGGCTTCAGCCTCCTGAGGACTTTTGAAAGAGATTTGAGTAAGTTAGAGATCAGAGTTTTGAGGTTTTTAGATGCTGTGATTTATTTTTTCTTATTTTTTTATGGCTAAGAAGGGTGAGTTCAGTTTATATTGTTATAGTATAGTAGTACAGTATAGTATTGTTATAGTATAGTTTAGTTTAGTGCAGTATAATTAGTATAGTTATAGTACAGGTAAAAAAGTGATAAGGTTTTTAGTTATAGGATGTTTTAAAGAGTTATTGATTAATAAATATTGTTAATAAAGATATTTATGTTTTTTATTTAATTTTTAAATATTTAGTTTTACAGATTTATGTTACAGTGTAAGTTTTTTCTTGTTAATTACGTTATAGTATTTATAAATGTATAGTATAAATAGATAATATTTATAGTACTTATAGTACTATTGTATTTATGTAATATTTATAAGATAGCTTAAATATATTTATAATATTTCTAGTACAAACAGTACAAATTTATGATATTTATAAAATTAGAGTATTGTAATAAAATATTTATTATTTAATCATTTTTATTTTTAAAAAATTAAATTTTTAATTTTTTAAAATTAATGTGTTTTATTTTTAGAATTTTTAAATTAATGTGGTTTTTATTTTTTAACTTTTAAAATTAACGTGTTTTTAAAATTGATGTGTTTTTAAAGATTAATGTGTTTTATTTTACTTTTATTTTAAATTTAATTAATTTTTTAAAATTAATGTAAAAAATAATTAATGAATGAATGCATTTTCATTTTGAATTATAAATTTATGTTTTTGCTTTTAGTACTTAAGTTCAGAAGCCTTTTTATAAAGTTTCCAATTAAATTTTGTGTTTAACTTACAACTTTACCTTACAACCTTCAAGTCCCAAGACTTTTTTGCATTTCAAATTCTAACAGCCCCCCAGTTCCATAAAATCCCAATTTCAAATCCTTCCGGGCCTAATTCTTCAGGGGCACGGCTGAACTTTTGATACAGCCATTTAAATAAAAATTTTAAAGAAATTTAAACCAACCTTCTGGGTCATCGAAGGTGACGTAGGCGACGCCTCTCCTGCGCGTGGGGTACGCGAGCTGCTCCACGTCCCCGCCGTTGTTCCGGGACGTTTGGAAGTGGATGGTGAGGATGTCAGCCAGGAGCTCATCCTGCAGGAGGCCAGCTGGGACCCCGGCCACCACGACTGTCCTCGTGCCTCCGGCAGCCTGGGCAGAGATGGGAAATTCAGGAGGGACCCCACAATCCCAGCCCTGCAGAGCTTCCCACTCCCTTGGCAATTCTTCCCTTTTTTTTGGGTTTTTTTAACTGGTACACATTGTTCACACCCATATTTCAAGTTTGGAAATGAGGATTTTCAAGCAGCAGTACAAAAAAGTACCCATGAAGAATGCATAATTTCTGAAAAAATTATGAAAAACATCCCTGCTACCATACATTTCTAAATACTCAACTATATATATATATATACATATACATATATACATACACACAAAATGTATATAAGAACACATCATTTCTGAAAAAATTATTAAAACATCCCTGCTACCATCACATTTCTAAATACTAAATTATATATACACACTTATATACACCATACTATATATATACTATACTATATATATACATATATTTGTATATATAGAATATATAAGATGTGTTTTTATATATATATTAATGTATATAAGAATACATAATTTCTGAAAAAATTATTAAAACATCCCTGCTACCATTAAATTTCTAAATACTAAACTATATATATATATTATAGAAATAAAAATTGTTGTTTCCTTGTAGCGAGAGAAGTTCATTTTCAAAACAGATAAAATTCAGGCTTTAGGTGTGAATGGTATGAATGACAAGTCTCCTTTTGTTTTGTTTTGTTTTTTCAATTTCTTCGTTGTTTTAGGATCCTTTGCAATGTGCATTTAGGGGTTAATTAATCCTGCCCCACCAGATCTCAGTGCCTGCCAGGCTGCCTCAGGCACCTGCATTAAAAAATGGTTTTAAATGCCATTTAAACCCTCTCAGCACCTTCTCAAAGCAGGAAAAATGAGCACTAAATTCAAGTTTCTCAGCTGGAAGGTCCCACCGGTAACGTGCCTTCCTCTGATTCTGATATTTAACATCAGAAGAGAAAGAAAAATTGGAACTGCAGTGATGCTCAGCAGGGATTCCCTGCAGAGAGGAAAGGGCAGATTCCCTGTTAAATCCAGGAGCGCCGGGATCTCAGCCATTTAAACCCTCTCAGCATCTGCTTAAAGCAGGAAAAATGAGCACTAAATTCCAGCTTCTCACCGGCAAGGTCCCTCTGCTAACGCGGTTTCCTCGGATTCTGATATTCGGTACCACTGCAAACTGCGGAGCACTGACTGCATTTAACAGTTCACCGACTTTTCGGAAGAAAGGAGATAAATTTGGTTTGTGGGAACGAGCTGCCAGTAACTGCTCTTGAGGTCGGTCACTCCAGCTGAATTCTTTAAACCTTCTCTTAAGTTTTAAACACCTCTTAAGTTGTTTTTCTGGGCCTGGGCTGCCTCAAACACGATCCCAGCTCCACAAGGGTTGCCGAGGGAGCGATGCCTGCCCAAAATCCTGGGGACCACCACGGCTCTGCACACAAACCCAGCGAGAGAGGCTCCATCAAATTCCGAGAGCCTGGAGCTTTTAATTAATGACAGCAGCTAATTATCCCGGCGGCGAGGCCCGTGTGAGAGCCAGTCCATGAGGCGGCACGGAGGGAATACAGACAGGGCGCTTCCAAGATGCAGGCGGGATTTTCTCACGCCTGGCACAGCCGGAGCTCGGCTCAGCTGCCAGACAGCCCTCACACCTTCCCAGCTGGTGTTTGGGAGCAACACTCGGGCCTGCTAGTGGGGTTAGGGGAAAAAAAAAACAAGCCGGGAACACACGGTTTGTGCTGAATCACTCCCCAGACGCGTCTGTGCCGAGCAGCTGCTCCCAGGCGGGGATGGGCGCTGTGGGAGGGAACGGGCCGGGAATGGGGAGGGAGGGAGGGATGGGGCAGCAGCTCTGCTGACAGCGGGTCCTGCTGGGATTTCCTGGCAAATCCCGGAGTGGTTTGGGTGGGGAGGGGCCTTAAAGTTCATCCCAATGCAGCCCTGCCGCGGGCAAAGACGCCTTTCACTGTCCCAGGCTGCTCCAAGCCCCAGTGTCCAGCCTGGCCTTGGGCACTGCCAGGGATCCAGGGGCAGCCCCAGCTGCTCTGGGAATTCCAGCCCAGCCAGCAATTCCCAATCTCCCATCCATCCCTGCCCTCTGGCAGTGGGAGGCATTCCCTGGCTCCTGTCCCTCCATGCCTTGTCCCCAGTTTCTCCTCAGCCTTTTCCAGCGCTTTTCCCGCCGCTCCCCCCGGCCCTGCCCCTGGCGGTGCGCGGCCCCGCTCCCCCCGGCCCCGGCACTTGCCATGGCCGCTGCTCCAACGGGACGGGATCCCACCGGGACGGGCTCGCCGGGACGAGGATCCCACCGGGACAAGGATACCGGGAAGGGATCTCACCGGGAAAGGCCCGGAGTGAGCGGGCCCGGCGGGGAAACGAAAGCGAAAGCGGCGGGGCCGCCCCTGCGGCCGCCCCCAGCCCAGCGGGGACAGAGCGCGGCACGGCCCGCCCTTCCCGGCTGGAACTGCGGGGCGGGAACGGGCACCGGGATGTGCAGGGACACGTGGGAACAGGGACACGCACAGGGACACATACACGGACAGGGACACACAGGGAGAAGGGCTTGCATGGAGAGGGGACAGACACGGACAGGGACACACATGGAGAGGGACATGTGTGGACTGGGACGTGCGTGGAGAGGGATGCACATGGAGAGGGACATGAAGGGACATGGACAAGGACACGCATGGAGAGGGACACAAGGGAGCAGGACGGGAGTGGAGAGGGACAGGGACACACAAAATCACACGCAGGGACACACGTGGAGAAGGACAGGAGTGGAGAGGGACAGGCAGGGACTGGGACACACATGGAGAAGGACACACGTGGAATGGGACGTGCATGGAGAGAGATACACATGGAGAGGGACATGCACTGACAGGGAACATTTCCAGGGGCACCCACAGCTGCTCTGGGCACCCTGTGCCAGGGCCTGCCCACCCTGCCAGGCAGGAATTCCTTCCCACTGTCCCACATGGCCAGGGACACCCCCTGGCACCCCAAAGGCTGTGCTTGCACAGCTCCCGTGGCCCCAAACAGCCCCGTGTTTGGCTGGACAGCAATGTCGGGGTGAAAGCTGCAGCTGGGAAATGTCCCTGTGTGTAATTTGGGAATAAAAACCTCCCAGCCCCGGAGAAAGTCACCCCAGCGGGGAGGAAAAAAGGATATTGACATTTATAGATACATCACTGACACTTTATTCTTATTTTTCATCATTAAAACCAGTCTCCAGCCTTTCAAGCACCACTGCTGCTTTAAAATTTAACAGGGTAATCATCACAAGCCATAATTCGTCAGGGACAAACAAAGGCAAGACATTTACAGACATTGTCTTTAAAATGTAAAAATATGATTTGTTTTCTGGGCTTTAAAACCTGCAGCTTCTCACTACTACTCCTGAGTCACACCTTATGAGAATTTTAAGCTTTTTCCTTTTTAATGATTTACTTCTCAATATTTATCAGTGAGATAAAATTCAGGGCAGTTTTTACCTTTCTCAGGATTTTCCCCCTCTCTTTTTAGGGTGTCTGGTGTTACCAAGTTTTTGAGAGTGCAAAAGTGCACAATTTCTGTAAATTCTTCAGCACTACTTTGTTTGAAATTATTATTTTACAGTGGTCAGGTAATCAATCCCTGCCTTTGCATGCCCTAAACAGTGAGAGGTGCTACAGTCACATGTATCTCACTTGACAGCAAATTCAAAATAAACTCTAGTGTTTTCAGCCTTTTAATTTTCCATATTCAACTTTTATCCATGGCCAATTAACAGTCTGTCTGGAATAATGATCCCTGAGGTATTCCCTCTCCTTTCCCTGCACATCAAGATGTCAAATACCCCAAAAATTAATTATTTCTAATGTCAGGCTCATGTTGGTTTGGAGTTAAGACTGTTAGGGCCAAACCATTTCAGACTCCAAGGGTGGGAAAAGTGCAAAGTCAGAGGAGGATTTGTTTTACAAGGATGACAAGCAGAAAAGGAAAAACATTCCTCCTTGGAAAACCACTCTCCAAGCCCTCCCAGCCCCAGCCTGGGATCACCAGATCTCTCAGGGCTGTTCAGCAGCACTGCTACCAAACCAGGGACAGCATCAGCTCAATCCTTGGCTGAAATAATTTAAAATAACCAAAATCATGAACAAAAACTAGGAAAATTGAATTGCAGGAACAAATACTACAATCAAAAATAAAGCAGGCTACGAACTGCTCGACAGCTAAAGGCAGCAAATGCCAGGGCATTTCTTAAGTGCCATTTCTTGGTTTGGCAGCCCCCATTTTCTATTTTAATTCTATCACTAATTTGATAAGGGGCTTTTGTGAGATTACAAGATTCTTTCAGGTGTTTGAGTTCTGGTGGCACTCAGCAACCTCAGCAGGACTGGAGTTGTGTCAGAGCCACATTCTGAAGCTCTGGCACTCAACAAAGCAGGACTGGGAGGAGGCTTGGATTGGGATTAAGTATGGCTTTTGTATCCAGAATGTAAGAAATAATCCACTCAGCCCACCCTGGAGTATCTAAAAATCTGCAAGGTATAAAATATGCAAAGTTGCAGAAAATCTGAGATGTTTCAGGGGCTGCTGAAGGCTCGGTCTGTGCCTTTAATCTGCAACACAGGCAGGGAGTTTTGCTGACTTCCTGTGCAAAGCCAGTGCCATGAGACAAATCAGAAAGGCAGGGATTCCTTTTCTAGAGTATCAATTTCAGACCATTAAAGCACAATATCTACTTAAATCCCTGAGGAACAAAACCTCAGAACTTCATGAGTCCCCTGTGATTTCTGAGGTGGCATTCCCAGTATCCTCCTCAAAGCAAACATAGGCTGCTCCTCTGGAGAGGTATTTGATTCCCTCAATCTCCCCCCCACCATTGCTTGGCTTTTGGAAGTGAATTTCAATCATGTCCTGCACACTTTCTTCATCCTCTTCCACCTCTGGGATTCCTTTCAGCAGAATGGTTTTCTTGGAAACCCTGCAGTGTGGCTGGGGAGGAAAGAACAAACCTGGATTATACAGCAGCTGTGCACTCAAAGGAACTGGGAGAGATGGGAATTGAATTCCTCACTCAGCTGTGGCTGGGATCTCGGATGAGCTTTAGATAGTGGAAATTTCTCTGGAAAGAGCAGGAATTCGGGATCCACACTACAATGAAGGGTCTGGAGGGACTTTGGAGGAGCAGCTGAGGGCACTTGGTTTGCTGGAGGAGAGTGAGGGGAGACTCATCCCAGTCTGGAGCTTCCTCCTGAGGGACAGCACTGAGCTCTGCCCTCTGGGAACAGAGGAAAAACAGCTGGAGCTGGGTCAGGGCAGATTCAGGTTGGATTTCAGGGAAAGTTTCTCTTCCCAGAGGGTGCTGGCACTGCCCAGGCTCCCCAGGGAATGGGCACATTCCCAAGGCTGCCAGAGCTCCAGGAGGGTTTGGACACTGCTCCCAGGGATGCTCAGGGTGGGATTTTAGGGTGTCTGTGCATGGCCAGGAGCTGGATCCATGATCCTGTGGGTCCCTCCCAGCTCAGGAGATTCTGTGGTTCCATGATTCTGAGCCCACACCTTAACTGGTGTGTCCTGCACTCCTTAATGCAGCCACACTCTGGATTTGGGGCTCTCTGATGGCTCCTGACAGCACCACCCCATAAAATCCCTGCCAGGACATGCCCCATACCAGCTGTGTGTCCTGCACACTGCAGCCCATGCCTTAATTACAAAGGCCTAATTATAGGCACAGTTCTGACCTGATCACCATTACTCCAAAAGCAGCAGACAGCTGGAGGCAGAGTGTGATGAGGCAGCTCTGTGTGCCAGAGTCACAATTTGGGCTGAATGGAGGAGTGAAATCAAGGAATGGATGAGCAAATGTTGCATTTGTTGGGACTCTGGGATCCTGGCAGAGCTTTGTGCTTATCCTCCTTCCCAAAGAGCCCAGCACAGCCACGTGGGGAGTGCTGCGATAATTCCATCAAGGAAAGACAAGCACACCCTTTAAAAATAAATTGCAGCTTCAACGTGAGCTCAACAGCCTATTTCACACCCACACTGGTGTGAAGTTCACACAAAAGGAGTTAAAACTCTGCCCAGCCTCCTATTTCCCACTTATCTGTTCTATCAGCCTGGAGTAGATTCTTTTACCTGAAACTTCCTCAAGTGGAAATCAAAATGTGGGGAGACAGAAATGTTGAACCACCTTTCCTCTGCACAGAAAGGGTATTTAGTACATCCCACAAAGTTGTAGCTTGCTGTAAGAGAATAAGAAAAAAAAAAAACCAAACAGTTAATTATTTAATATAATTTAACCAGTATTTTATAAACATGTCAAAGACCAGGCTCATCTTTGTGGATGCAGAAACTAATGTAGGATGGCACACTGGTAGATTCTTCAAAAATCTGCAAAAAGTTTATTTGGCACTTCCAAAACAAAAAGCAAAATCACGAAACGCCCACAAAGCTCTGAAATAAACCTAAAGCAGCTGCTCCAGGTGGATGTGGCTCCACTGATCATGGAATTCCATCCAGCTGGGCAATAGGAATGCCTGTCCAACTGCATTGTCCTGCAGCAGGAGCTAAAGTCAAACATCTTCCCGATTTGCTGATTGCAGTATGAGTGTCTGGCAATGCAAAGGAAAAAAACAGTGCTTTTTGGAAAAGTTGTGAAAGAAAGCTCACGAACTGTGAGCAGGTTGTGTTTGCTCCAAAAGGATGTGATGAAAAACTGCTTTATTTCATGGATCTCTGAGGGATCCACGAGCTCCCTGTGGGAAGAGTTTGCAACACTCAGAGGTGACCTCAGAATGGAACCCAGGATGGACAACTGGGCCTGAATTTGGGTAAGAAAATATTCCAGGCTCTACCTCCAGGTTTGAGGAATGTGATGACAGCTGTCCCAGACCCCTTGTTGTAGGTCACATTTTCTATTTCTCCTCCTCCTTCTGCCTGCTCAGTTTTGTAGAAATGCAGCTCAAGTTTGTCTCTCATCCAATCTTCAGGAATGGAAAGCTCAGGTATGTCTGAAACGTTGATCTTCCTTCCAGAGACAGTGACATGGAGCTAAAAATATCAAATTTTTGTGCACTTTGTGACTGAAAACACTGAAAAAAAAAGAACCTAAAGCTTTTAAAGAGCTCAGATTTTGAGAGTTGCGTATTTCAGTTGTTTACCTCAAACTGGAACCCCATGTCAAGTTCAAAAGGCTTCACTGTCACATTTGCTGTTCTGTTGTCCAGGTTCACACAGTGCTTGCTCATCTTTGTCAGCCTCTGGGCAACTGAAGGAAATCAGATATGAAAAGCTTTGTTTAATCATTGTAAACCCCAAAATATTCCCCAGCCTCTTAAAAAAATCTCCTTTTGCATCAGTAAAGGAGAAATTAATTATCATTAGGCAACCAGATCCCAAGCATCCATGTCTACTTCCATAAAATCTCTGTGATTTTATGTAGGCCAAGTAATATAATAACAAAATACTATATCACTGTTAATAATTACAAACAATATTTTAAAGTAATATCCAATAAACACAGTAAATATATTATTAATGATACATATTAAAATAGATTTTGAGTGGGACTACTACAACTTTTAAGCTGTCAAAAGTTGTTCTTATTGTATAAAATACGAACACACGATTTTTCCCGTTCCATTCAAAATACCCTTGCGGGAAAACCACACCACTACCAGGTGAAATACATCAGAGACATTAATTTTGTAATTAAAATACACATCCTACCTTCTTCATCTTCAAAAGTCAGCAGTGCCTGGTTCTGGTTGAGTCTGAAGGGGGTTTTTGTGGCTGCCCCAAAGACACAGTGGGCGTCCATATCCCTATCTGCCCCATCATCCTTCATCTCCTCCAGGTGAGTGAACTTCAATTTCATTTCTGCCACCTTCTTTTTAATCTCCAACTTTAGAATCAACACAAGAAAAATAAAACTTGAAAATTACCAATGCTATGAATATTTCTGATTCCACTGCCTTCCATTTAATCAACGTCTGCTTGTTTTCATCCTCTCACACTTTCAGTACCTCTTGGATTTACTTCCATATCCTCTGCCTGCTTCAAACTGGCTTGCCAGGAAAAACAAGAAACTTTCAGGTTTATTTCATATTGAAATCAGTAGAGGTTCTAATGCTGAACAAGTGGCCCCAGCAGCCTTTAAGAGGGACAGATTCAGTGGGGAGGCTCAGGATTCCCAGAGCAGCTGTGGCTGCCCCTGGATCCCTGGGAATGTCCCAGGCCAGCTTGGACAGGGCTTGGAGCAGCCTGGGACAGTGGGAGGTGTCCCTGGGGTTGGAATGGGATGGGATTTAAGGTCCCCTCCAGCCCAAACCAATCTCTAAAAATAAAAATCTGCCCTCCTAAAAGACCAATTTCCAAATATTCCACCTCCTTTACCAGATTATCCTGGGAACTGTGTTCTTCCAGGTCTTCTTTGAGCTTTTCAATCTCCTTCTTCAGCTCCGTGTTTTCTTGCTTTAGCAGCAAGAGTTCCTGCTATAGGCCAAGAAGATGAAATGCAAAATTAAATAAAGACAGAAATATATTTCAGCACCATCTGGGCAGTTTCTGCCATGCTGCTGCTCTTCCCTCTTCATGTCCTTCTCCTTCCTCCTGTCTGCTCCATAATTCCTCCAGAACAAGGAATCCTGCTTGGACACAAAGCTGTGTAAGCACATCCAGGATTTCCTGGACAGGGAATGTGAGAGGATGAGAAGGAAACAGAGCAGATGTTGTCAGCTCCAGCCAGCCACCAACACAAGGTGGCTCCTGGGAAGTCAGCAACCACTGCAGACACTTGGAGCACTTCCCATCAGCTGAAGGCCAAAGCCACTACCTTCCTGGGTACAAATCAAAACTTTTGTGATTAAAGAACCAAAATCAGCTTTCAGAAAATCTCCCCTAACCTGAGTGTGTTTAAGCTATTAATTATATTGTAATAGCTTGAAGCTGTATTTTCTCATCAGTGATTCACAAAGCTCACTGGAAGAACATCCTTGGCAGCCTGTGGAACCTTCTGCTGCTCCTGCACATGGAATATTGAGGGATGAACCAAGGGATCTGGAACCAAGCAGTTCTAGAAGGAAAAACCAGCTTCAGCCAGGCCCTGGCTCTTGCCCAGCTCACTGGCACTTAAGAAATTGTTGTGTTGTGCTTTCATATGCCATGTAATGATAAGTTGTACTTTAGGTTTTGGATGCTGATCCTTCGGGTGCTGTGATCTCTCACAGAACAGGGAGCTGGCAAAGCAGTGGAATCACCCCACTGGGCTTCATCCCCTTCACCCAGACCTGAAACTCATCTGCAGGGGAGAACCTTGGAAGATGAAAGTTGGTTTTGTCAGGTTTCATCCCAAAACAGACTAATTTTTTATTGCACTGTCTCTTTGCCTGCCAGTGAAAAACTGAAGTGCAGCAAAAAACGTGTGGAACATTCCAGCAGTACAGCTGCACACTGGCAAAGCCACTGAAACTGGGAATGTTGCTCCCATTTTCCTAGCCCACAGCTCCTTCCTGAGCCTGCAAACACCAGCAGTCCCCTCCATACCTCAGAGCTGGTGATTCTGTCCTGACGCTGCTTCTCCTGCTCCTTCAGATCTGCCAGCTCCTTCTCTGCTCTGTCACACTCTGTATCAGCTCTTACTTTGGAGGAAAAAAGGTCAGCTTTTGCCTTTTCAATATCTTCAACTCTTATCTGAAGTGCAAAAAGAAGAAGATTTTAAAATTTTTTACAGGTTTATTTCTAGAGGAACAAACAACCTTGAGTAAGCTCCTTGTACTTATTAATTTTTAACACTTTGGGTAAATATTCAACTTTACAAGAGTGGGATCAACACAAGCACAAAGCACTGGAGAACAGAACAAATTAAAGATGTTATAAATGTGGGGGATTTGATGTGATTTTAGAACGATGCACCAATCTTTATCTTTTAGCAAATTTCCATGATTCCATGTGCTTTACAGAACTTGCCTTCCACAGCCTCAGCTCTTCCTTAAGTTTTTCCATTTCTTCCAGGGATGTCCCAAGTGGATCAGGGGATACCATACTCTGCAGAGAGAAGAGGAACACATTGGTTTTCTCCTCTGTTGGCCAACAACTGAGACACCCCAAACAATTCTAAAACAATCTTTAAGAAATTAAAAAGTTTAACCAAAAACATTTAAAACATCATTCACTTAGGACAAATTGTTGAATTATTTTAATGACTAGACAGGACAAAAATCTATGAAATTGTGATTTGCTGGCCAGCCATTATTATTTGCTAATTATCCCACTGCTAAAATGCACAGGTTAATATTTAGCTAAATAATAAACCAAGTTGTCTCCATGTTCTTCCACACAGAACTAAGCCCCTCAAATCCACAAATGTTTGGCTCTGTGCTTTCCCAGCAGCTCCTCCAGGAGGAGGTGTCAATAAAAAAAATAAAAGTGAAAATGGGATTTTGATCTTCCAGGCTGGGGGAGATTGGACAAAAAAAGGTAATATCAAGGAATGTGATAAAAGAACCATTTCAGAATTGAAATTCAGGGCACAAGTTCACAAGGACAGGGAAGCTACAAAGCCCAAAGACAGAGAAAATCTCTGTTCTGTTTTGTTTCTATGGTTGCAGTATTCTGCAGGAAAAAAAAAATCCAGAAAGATCTGCTGAAATATTCCCTCCCTTTTTGCTCAAGATTACATAAAGCTTGAATGGGAATCATGAAATTCAGGCATGAAAAAGGTCTAAATTAGATGACCTTGTCAGTTCTCTTGGTAATGCTGGGTATTTCCTAAAAATAATAAAATAGAAAGTATTTCTTCCAGTTTCAAATTAAGCAAGAGGGAAATACCCATCTGTGTCTTAGTTACAATGGGAAAAATATTCCTTTACTCTAGGGACTGAGTGCAGGAAATAAAAGGGATGCACGTGCCAACAGCTGGAAGACAATAAGAAAAAGGATTTTTTACTAAAAAAAATGGTTTCACTCAACAGTTTCCATCCTGAAAGAAGGAAAAAAAAACCCAAAAAAACAAGAAAATACAAAAAATGCCAGGGAAAGTCCCATCCAAACCACTTGTGCACTGCTGGAGCTGAATCCCAGGAAAAGGGAAACTCCCCTAAAATCCTCCACAAAGACAGATGAGCAAGAGAGGCAGGATAGAAAGTTCTGGATGCAGAATCTTGGGAATGGGATTCTCCCTATGGAAACAGGAGGTGGAAATGGGGAATGTCCCAAGTATTAAAGGGTGGAAGAAGGTGAGACAAACAGAAGCAGTGGGAGCACAAACCTTCAGTCAGAGATACAAAAGTCAAATTTCACTCGCAGGCAGCACATCAGGGAATACTTACAAAACCATTGTCATGTAGAGATAATGGGGGTCTTGTAGCATCCATGGAAACCTGAGGAAACAGGAAAAAAAATTACAACATTGTATGTATTGTTTGGGGTTTTTTTTATGCAACAAAGTATGAGGAATAGCAGAAGCTGTGTTGAGCTGGAAGAATTTTTAAACAGAAATGTATCATTCCATATGCAAAAGTGACAGATATTGGGATATCTGAAGCCTCCTTCCTTACAAGGAAATAAAAGCCAGAGACAGATGTGAGGAATTCTGCAGTGCACAACTCAACTTTGCTGTTCTGGTAGTTCTGTATTTACCTTTATGTGCTGTTATACACATGGGAACAGCCTGTGTGTTCTGTGCTTGAGAGCCTGGAGAAAAGGGGACCTCAGTGAGGCCTGAGGGGGCTCCAGGAGAGCTGGAGAGGGACTGGGGACAAGGGATGGAGGGACAGGACACAGGGAATGGCTCCCACTGGGAAAGAGATTTGGATGGGATATTGGGAAGGGATTCCTGCTGGGAGGGTGGCGAGGAGCTGGAATGGATTTCCAGAGAAGCTGTGGCTGCCCCTGGATCCCTGGAAGTGTCCCAGGCCAGGCTGGAGCAGCCTGGGACAGTGGAAGGTGTCCCTGCCATGGCAGGCGTGGGGATGGATGAGTTTTAATGTCCCTTCCGACCCAAACCATTCTCGGATTCTACAAATCCTGCTTAGCACAAATGGAAACCCTTTCACACAGCAGATAATTTAACATTTGGAATCCATCGCCACAGCTTTTTGTGGACACAGACGAAAAGGAATTTGGGGAAGCTCCCAGGCCACTGACCAGGAGGAGATGCCAAGGTGCAGAGGCTCCTAAGCCAATCTGTGGCTGCCAGGGCAAGGTTTGATCCTCTAAGGTTTAAGCTGGATACTCCACAGGATACTTCTTGAAATCCCAGCAGGAGCAGCCCAAATTCCCGACCCATCCGGGCAGTTCTGACCCTCTCACCTGGGAATCCTCACCTTGATGCTGAGCCGACACCGCCTTCACTCAGAGGCTTGAAACTGAGGTTCAGGATCCCGGAACCCCTCTCTGGTTTGGATCGAGCAGCTAAAATTCACAGACTTCTGTACAGTTTCCTGGGGGGAAAAAAGGAAAGTGAAAGCATAAATGAACAATAGCTCCCCTTGGTTTATCCGCCACTCCTCCAAGGGACCCGAGGGCTCCCTCACCGCTCAGCTCCCGGCGGGCACGGCCGGGACGGGCTGGGAGCACGGCCGGGACGGGCTGGGGACACGGCCGGGGCTCCCGCAGCTGCCGGCGGCTCCTCAGACACCTCCGGGGCCGTCCCGGGGCCGCCTTTCGCTTTCGCTTCCCGGCCCGGGGAAGGAGGAGCCGGGGCCCGGCCGGCCCCCTCACACCCCGGGGAGCCGCGGGGGTACTGGGGTGTCTGTGGCTGTGTCCGTGTGGGCTGAGGGAGGAGCTGCTGCCCCGGCCGCCCCTCGGCCGAGCCCTGATGAGGACGACGGGCACAAATGTGGAGAAAACGGGGAAATCCTGGGAAGAGGTGGGGAAAGGGCGCTGGGGCAGCGCCCTCAGGGCGGCCATCCCCTCAGGGCGGGCGTGAGGGCGGCCATCGCCTCACGGCGGAGCCGCTGCTCGCCCGTCCCGGCTGCGCTCGGCTGTGGAATCAAATTACACAAACTTAGCCGGCTCTGCTGAGTTTGTTTGTGTATTTATTTGCCTGTAATTCTCTGGGATTACGTGGTGTTTTATAAATAATATGGTTTACTTCTGTGGCGAAAAAGCATCCCGGACAGAAGGAGCCCTTGCGGATGGAGAAGCCGCGTTCCAAGAAATTAACGTATAGAAGAGTTCTGGAGAACCGAGTGTCAGCTTGTCACCGAAATGTGACCTCGAAAGAGGTTTCTTGGAAAATAAACTCACTTGGATTCCAGTGGTGATCATTTTGAGGAAGAGAAAGCACTGGGTTTTCATCTAAGGGAGGCTGGAGAGGGGCTTTGAATAAGGGCTGGAGGGACAGGAGCCAGGGAATGGCTCCCACTGCCAGAGGGCAGGGATGGGTGGGAGATTGGGAACTGGGAATTCCTGGCTGGGCTGGAATTCCCAGAGCAGCTGGGGCTGCCCCTGGATCCCTGGAATTGTCCAAGGCCAGGCTTGGAGCAGCCTGGGACAGTGGGAGGTGTCCCTGTCCATGGCAGAGATGGAATGGGATCTTTAAGTCCCTTCCAATCCAACCTATTCCATGATTCCACACAGATAACTAAAGGAAGGAGTCCATACCCTAGACTAAGAAGAAAAATGAAGTATATTACTTTCAGGCTTCCTTTCAAACTAAGCTGACAGATCTTATAGCGTTCCCCTCAAAATTGCAAACAGACCTACATTCATTGGCCAAAGGATTTTGTCTGGGTTGCAGTCAAACAGTGCTGACTGTTCACTGAAATTAATCCTCAAAAATTCAAAATATGCCAAATAGTTGGGGCAAGTGTAAAGGCTGACTTTGTCACTTTGCAGATGCCGACTCTACTTTTGGAGAAAAAGCAGCCGGAGCTGGATAACAGCGGAGCCCTGTGGTGGAACTGGTTGGGCTCTGTGAGCACACTCGAGGAGGTCTGGCTGGAGCAGCCAGAATTTTTGTCTTCATTGCTCCACAAAGGGAATCTTGGATTGCCCCCTGCTTAGATAGTGATCACCTCACGCCACTGAATTCACTGGGAGTTTTACCCCCAGCGTGATTGTTATGGCAGCTTCAAAAGTCCTTATCTGTTTTTCCAGATAAGTGGATGAAAATCTGACCCTGCCTTTGAGGGTTTATTATTATTGTTTTTGTTATTATTTTCTGCCTTGACAATGGCTAACAATGTTTACTATTGCTTTATAAACACAAAGTTGGTTACCAATGAGTAAAAGGGAGAGGTTTGCTGGAGTAGCCAGGGAGGAGGAGGTGGTTCTGTTATGACCTAAGCCCCGCAGATTTTCAGATTCAAATGTCACAGTGGTGGGCTGCTCTCCAGTGACCGTGGTCATGTTGGGATCTGAAGGAGCTTCATTTCCCCGAACTCCAGGGAACGAGCAACGTCAGCCAGCTTTGGGATTTGAGCTGAACAATGTGTTTGTGCTTGTTTGGTAAAGGGAATTTATTGGAGATGCTGACCTGGGCCAAGTTCCTTTACTGAAATGGGGTTGACTTGGTGTTGATATCTTAGTGCTTTTCTGGGTGTTGTGGATTTATGGTGTTAGCCACATGTGAAGCAGAGTAAAGGGAAAAGTGTGGATTTCATAACTCTGAGGAGTTTTGCTAAAGGAGAAAATGGAGGAGTAAAATACAGCATAGAGTACAAGAAGCTTTTCAACTCTCTGAGCTGCCTGCATTGATTGCAGACTTGCTCCTCAGGAACCTGAAAAACTCTGGACGAGCCCAGGAAGCTGAAATGGAAACTTGAGGAGAAAATCATGATCAGGACTCATCTGCAGCAAAAATATTCTGATTAACCTGGAGGAAGTTTCGCAGCCATAAGGTACCTTTTGTTGGTACCAAAATTGTTTGACCATAGCTCAGTTAAGAATCTTAGGGCATTGACTTCAGAAGGAGAAAATTTGGGTTCTTTTCAAGTTACAACAGATTCAAAGAAGGAAGTAAATGGAAATTAGTGGGATTAGTGGTGTCTTCCCTGCTGATCTCCAGGATTTTCAGAGCCTGGAAAATGGGCCTTTTGTAGTTTTTTGTGCTTTTGTGTTTTATTAGTACCCGGGAAAAAGGAAATAAATTTCCAGGTTCTTCTTTAAGGAGCTGCACGTTGTCACACAGGCAGGACACAATCGTGGTGACTGCTGTACCACCTCCCATCCTCAGGAATCCCTACTAAATTACTGAGAAAAAACCCTACAGACCTCAGGCAAACAAAGAAATCTTTCTGACCTTGGTGTCGTGCCAGTGTTGAGGAGTGGATTGGCATCTTCCATTTATTGTGTTCCCAGGATCTGCAGGTGATAACTTAGCCTTCAGAAAGCAGCATGAAAATCCATCAGGATATGAGTTCTGGATCTCACTGCTGAGGCACCAAAATCTGGGGTTATCAGACCTTAATATCAACAAGACTCCAAAAACACATGGATCCCTCAAGAAGTTCCCAATCCTTCAACTCCCTGTTTCTCCTGGGTGTTCATGCAGCCAATCCAGGCTGGGAAATGACCCAGCTTCCAAGTTAACCCAGAATAAAGCTGGGTTTAGCTGGCTCGTTTCTCCACTCCAGCTCATCCTGGTGCCGTGCAGCAGGGTCAGCTCAGTGAGGGTGAAGCAAAACTTAGTTCAGAGTGACAGGGCTTCAGTCTCCTCTGATGAGGAACAGGGGACCCAGCACAGGTTCCAGATTGTTTTAAGGGGCCAACATTGTAGGTAGCACAATCCCAATTCTTTTTTCAACCCGTTTTATTTCAGGCAAAGGAGGAAAATAGACCTGACAAGGAACATCCATCGCCCTGAGTTTAGGTGTGAATACCTGCCTCATAAATTGCAATTGCCTTCCCAACACAAGCAGAAGGATGAAATGAACTCTCTCTACCAATCTCCATGGTTCCCAGGAAGGATTCCAGCAGGAGCTGGGGGTGTTCCAGCTTCCCTGGGCTGTGTGTTTCCTGGGAAGCAGCGCTATGAGGCAATGCCCTGGGCTAGGAATTAATCCCAGCTCTGCTGCTGAAAGCAAACAATGCAGAAGGAATCCTCTGAGATGCACATTGGCAGGCCTGAATCCCATTCCTGTTCTTCGGAAAAATCACTGCATGTTAATGAAATAATGAATTAAACTCACTGCAAATGGCACTGTTGATGTTGCAGGGAGCATTTATTGAGGCAGAATCAATTCCAAGTGCGGCCAGTTTTGTGCTAAGAAGATGTAAATGAGAGGGCAGGGAAAGCAGGAGAGCGGGTGTGGAGACGTGCCTGACAAAAGTATCGTTCTGTGGGACACAGGGAATGCCTTCCACTGCCAGAGGGCAGGGATGGGTGGGATATTGGGAAGGAATTCCTGGCTGGGAGGGTGGGGATGGGCTGGAATGGAATTCCCAGAGAAGCTGTGGCTGCTCCTGGATCCCTGGAAGTGTCCAAGGCCAGGCTGAATGGTGCTTGGAGCACCCTGGGATAGTGGAAGGTGTCCCTGCCCATGGTCTTCAATATCCCTTCCAACCCAAATCACTCTGGAATTCCCTGATCCTATTGAAAAAAAACCCTGCTTTTCTGTTTGTTGCCAAACTTTGTAGCCAGCAGGATTTCTGAGAGAATATAACTCTGAATGAAAACTACCAAGATAATATTTTTGGTAATATTTAAATAAGTGCTTCAGTCTCTAGAAATTATTTTTTGAAAGCAGTTGTGACATTTCCACCTCTCTTTTTTTTTTGATTCCCCAAAATTATTTTATACAATCCATTCTTCTTGGAAGAAACATTTACTGCGTGTCAAGCAAAGAGAAATTCCTAAATGGAAAGCCGTGGACAGCTGAGAATTAAAGAAGTGAATATGTGCAAGTTAAAACATGGGAATTGCTCATGTAGATATTTCTAGGAAGGAGAGTAATCCCAGTGTTCCAGAGCTTTGTCCTTGACACATTCCTGGAAAAATTCTGTGAGTGGTGAGGAAAGAGAAGCTGCTAACGAGAGCTGGGTGTGCTGGGGTTGGTTCATTAACACCCCTGGTTTAATCCATCCCACTCCCCCGTCCTTTTTCCTTTCCCTGCTTCCTTTTTCCTTTCCTTGCCTTACTTTTCCCCTTTCCATTTTTCCTTTTTATTTAGATCTCCCTTTTCCTTTTTCCTTTCCTTTCCCCCTTTCTGTTTTCCTTCCTCTTTCCCTTTCTCCCTTTTCTTTCTCCTTTCCATTTTCCCTTTTCCTTTCCCTTTTTCCTTTTCTCTTTTCCCTTCTCTTTCCCTTTTCCCTTCCCTTTTCCCCTTTTCATTCTCCTTTCCCTTTTCCTTTCCCTTCTTCCCTTCCCCTTCTTCCCTTTCCCTTTTAATTTTTTCCTTTTTTTTCCCCACATAACCCAGAGCTGAACTGTTTTGGATGCACTCATATTTCACTTTCTGCCTTCACTCTTGTACCTAAAGCACCTTCTGAGGATAAAGCACCAACAACTCTCAGCCCAGCTCATTTCCAAGTGTTACCAACTCTTAAAACCTGTTTCGTTTTTACAGGATTTCTTTCAGCTCTGGTGTTTTATGGCACTGATTCTGGATGAAGATAGTTTCCTGTGTCCAGCTCTAAAAGAAATGGCTCATAATCCTTAATTTTCTGGTTTAGATCTGATTTTACTTCATCAAATATCTATTCTGATGTTATTCACAACCTTAAAAT